CAGGTGGGTAGAGTGGTAGTGGGTGGGTGAGTAGGGGTGGCAGGTGGGTAGATTGGTAGTGGGTGGGTGAGTAGGGGTGGCAGGTGGGTAGAGTGGTAGTGGGTGGGTGAGTAGGGGTGGCAGGTGGGGGTAGATAGCAGACGGTTTTTCTACTAGAAATTTTACGATAGTTATTTTATGATACGTTATGCGATAATTGTTAGCAGACGGTTAGGTTAGGTTAGGTTAGGCGATAGCAGACGGTTTTCTGGTAGAAATTTTGCGATAAGTGTGGTTTTTGCTATTTGATGGTGGTGTAGACTACCCTTTTTCAGATCTTACCCCCTTAAGTTCTTCACAGACATAGCTTGTTTAGATTTACTTTATTTACGTTAGGCGATAATTGTAATTATTTGAAATAATTCCATCAAAGTGAGGGTCAAAATGCATCCAGAGAAAGTAACAAAAATATTCGGAGCCCTGTGTGCGCTTTTAATCCTCGCATTAGACAAACAAAACTACCTCGTTAAATACCACAAAAAAACTGATGAAAATATAAACTGCAGTTGTGGTTTTGTTTGTTCTTTACGAACAAATTGCCGTGCAATACTTCCTAATTTACCTTTCCATTTCATGTAAAAACAGTCCCGACTTGTACATCTTGGCAACTATATTTTGGCAACTTATAGCTCACGTTAGAATATGTGTATCATGTCCCACCTTATCGACAATAATCATGGCTTGTATGTGTGCCCCCGGCAGATAATAGAATATGTGTATTACGTCCCACCCTCTAGATAATAACTGTGGCTTGTAGTTGTACGCATCAGCGAAAAAAATACACGGGAGCGGCGAGCGATTTCGCTCCCGTCAGCTTTCAAAGCGCTCTGGTAACAACAATTACGAGAGCGAAAATTTTGGAAGATACGAGAAAAAATCGCTCCCGTGCCGCCGGCAGCATTAGAAATTAGTTCCGACCTGGAGGCCCAGCCCACCAAGTTTTTGCTCAGCCCACCATCTCTACGAAACTCCCGGTCCTCCTGACCGGCACTTTTTCCCCTTATTATAAGGGCTAAAATAGTATTTCAGCATAATATAAGGCTTATATTATGCTGAAATACTACGGTTAGCGGTCTGTCTGTGTGAATGAAATTGAATAAGAATGTGATTGGTTTTTAGTCGAGGGGTGAAACAAGATAAAAAAATGGTGATGAATGTTAATTGTGACGATTCTTGACACTGATAGGTCTGGGATACTGGTGCCGAATGCGCCTGAATGCTGATGAAGGATTATGTAGAGTTAGCGGCATCAAAATTATGAAAATTTGAACAAAATCATGGCTATTGAAAAAAGTAAGCGTAGCTCTGGCAAGCCTATTAAAAATAGCGTCCCCGTAAAAAAAAAATTACGCGAGAGCTCCTTTCTTTTCAGACAAATCAGGAAAAGGCTCTGGTAAAGAAAAAGTAATTTTTAGGCTAGGTACGCACCAGGAATAGGGGGAATAGGGAATATGGTGTATTTACGTCGCCACCCTATAAGACATTAATTGGCTATGTACTGTGTACCTCCGGCAGTAGGACGGTTCTAGATTATATAATTAACCGTTATAGGTATACTTCCGAATTAACCTTTTTGTTTGATGTAAAAACAGTTGCTACTTAAGACATTCTTTGGGCAATTGAAATTTGCGCAACGTATGGCTACTCGATTAGTATACGTGTATTACGTTCCCACTCTATGCGACAGCTAATCGTGGTGGCCGGTGATTCCCGTCGGCAGAGTGACCTCGCGCGCAGTCAAGAAGACACCTCGCGCCAGACCTCCGTCAACTTTCAAGCAACCGGTACACAGGCGGACTCGGCCGTGCCCACGGCGCCGTCGCGGCGCCGGTTCGGCCCAAGGCGCAAAGCACGGTCAGCGAGCTGGCTGCATTTCCGTCGCATGTTGCCAAAAACGACAAGAACAGAGGGATTCCTGACGCCGCTGCACGCAAGCCCGACAAGAACAGCTTCGACTGATGGAGGTGACTGCTTGAAAAGAAGAGCGGGGCAACGAGTAGCGAAAGGCATCGAGCAGTAGTGCATCGATTTATTGCGGGGAGTCAAGTTGGTTGTGTTTTTTAATGTGGAGCAAAAAGAATGCGATCTTTTGACCGTGCACGGAGACAATTTGATAGATAGATGTATAATGGTGCCAAGGTAGCAACCGATCACGCAGTAGTGTGTTGTTTAGTGCGGGGAGTCAAGTCGGTTTTTTTTTTTATATTGAGCAAAAATGGCGTTTTTTGACCGTGCATGGAGGCAGTTTGATAGATAGCTGAAGAACGGTGCCAAGGTAGCGACCGATTGCGTAGTAGTGCGTTGTTTCGTGCAGAGAGTCGAGTCAGTTGTTTTTTTAATATCAAGCAAAAAGTAGGGGTCACTCAAGTAGTGTAGGGGTCACTCAAGATAAAATACCAGCTTAAAAGCTTAAACAGGCTTGACTGTATCGACAGACTTTAATCTTACATCAATTACGCAACCGTATATCGCATTTTTCAAAACTCTACGAGATAGCCCATTATTAATTAACCTATATATATATATATAGTTATTAACCTATATAACTGTCTCTGTATTCCATCATTATATGTGATACAGTTATGAAACTATATCGCTCATCCCTCTCTCTCTCTCTCTCTCTCTGACTGTTTGTCTAGGTGAACACGCTGGAGAGCCTCGGACAGACGGCGCTGCACCGGTGCGCTCGCGGCGGACAGATGCAGGCGTGCCGGCTGCTGCTGCAGTACGGCGCCGAGCCGAGCATCGTCTCCCTGCAGGGCTACACCGCCGCGCAGGTCGCCACCGAACCGATCGCAAAGATGCTGCGCGAGGAACCCACGCCCGGCGGCACCGATGCCGAACACCAGCTGCTCGAGGCCGCGAAAGCCGGCGACCTCGACACGCTGACGAAGGTCGTCGGCACGAACCCGCAGATCGTCAACTGCCGCGACCTCGAGGGCCGGCACTCGACTCCGCTGCACTTCGCCGCCGGCTACAACCGCGTCTCCGTCGTTGAGTTCCTGCTGCTGAAGGGCGCGGACGTGCACGCGAAGGACAAGGGCGGGCTCGTGCCGCTGCACAACGCGTGCTCGTACGGTCACTACGAGGTCACCGAGCTGCTCGTCAAGCACGGCGCCGCCGTCAACGTTGCCGACCTCTGGAAGTTCACGCCGCTGCACGAGGCCGCCGCCAAGGGCAAGTTCGACATCTGCCGGCTGCTGCTGCGGCACGGCGCCGACCCGGCGAAGAAGAACCGCGACGGCAACGCGCCCATCGACCTTGTCAAGGAGGGCGACCAGGACGTCGCGGATCTCCTGCGCGGCGACGCGGCGCTGCTGGAGGCGGCAAAGAAGGGTGTGCTCGCGCGCGTGCAGCGGCTCGTCACGCCCGACAACATCAACTGCCGCGACACGCAGGGCCGCAACTCGACGCCGCTGCACCTCGCCGCCGGCTACAACAACTACGAGGTCGCTGAGCACCTGCTGGAGCGCGGCGCCGACGTGAACGCGCAGGACAAGGGCGGCTTGATCCCGCTGCACAACGCGTCGTCGTACGGCCACGTCGACATCGCCGCGCTGCTCATCAAGCACGCGGCGCTCGTGAATGCGCGCGACCGCTGGAGCTTCACGCCGCTGCACGAGGCCGCGCAGAAGGGCCGCACGCAGCTGTGCGCGCTCCTCCTTGCGCACGGCGCCGACCCGACGATGACCAACCAGGAGGGTCAGACCGCGCTCGATCTCGCCGCGCCGGACGACGTCCGCTGCCTCCTCCTCGACATGACCCCTGGGCAGCTGCGGCCGCCGCCGGTGGTCCCCGCGCTGCCGACGACGACGACGACGACGACGACGACAAACCTCGCGGCGACTTCGTCCGCGAGCGCGCTGTCCGTGTGCGCGTCGCCGCCGCCGCCCGACAGTCCGTCCGGTGGCGGCGGCGGCGGTGGGGGGCAGCGCGGCGATGGATGCGTTGACTTCACGTCGGACGGGGAGCGGCAGCCGGACGTCTCCAGCATGAGCATCGGCGGCTTCCTGAACGGACTCAAGCTGGAGCACCTGCGCGAGATCTTCGAGCGAGAGATGATCTCGCTCGACGTGCTCGCCGAGATGGGCCACGACGAGCTGAAGGAGATCGGCGTCAACGCGTACGGACACCGGCACAAGCTCATCAAGGGCATCGAGAAGCTGCTGTCGTCGGCGGCGACCGCCGGCGCGACGCTCGGATGTGGAGCCGGGGTCGCCGCGGCGGCGCACGTGCAGGGCACGGTGCTGCTCGACCTGCAACGCGACGACAAGGAGTGGATCCACGTCGAGCACGAGATGCAGAGCAGCATCTGCGAGCACCGCGACGCCGTCGGCGGCATCTTCGACCGCTACGAGTGCGTGAAGATCCAGAAGGTGACGAACGCGCGGCTGTTGCAGCGCTACCTGCACCGCAAGAAGGAGGTCGGCGACGAGAACCAGCGAGGCTGCGCCGACAACGAGCGCATGCTCTTCCACGGCTCGCCGTTCATCCACGCGATCGTGCACAAGGGCTTCGACGAGCGGCACGCCTACATCGGCGGCATGTTCGGCGCGGGCATCTACTTTGCCGAGAACTCGTCGAAAAGCAACCAGTACGTGTACGGCATCGGCGGCGGCACGGGCTGCCCGACGCACAAGGACCGCTCGTGCTACGTCTGCCACCGGCACCTGCTCTTCTGCCGCGTGACGCTCGGCAAGTCCTTCCTGCAGTTCTCGGCGATGAAGATGGCGCACTCGCCGCCGGGCCACCACTCGGTGATCGGGCGGCCGTCGACGGGCGGCCTGAACTTTGCCGAGTACGTCGTGTATCGGGGCGAGCAGGCCTACCCCGAATACCTGATAACCTATCAGATCGTGAAGCCCGAGACGGTGCCAGAAACGCTTGATCTGTCGGATTGATGTCACGTGTACCTAGTAACTGATCGTGAAACCCTAGGCGGTGTCTGAATCACCCCAGCTGTCGGATTGTTGTGTCGCACATAACGAGTAACTGATAATGATGCCATAGGAAGTGTCCGAATCGCTCGATCTGTCGGATTGATGGCACGCGTACCTAGTAACTGATCACTCATCAGGTCGTAAAGCCAGAGACGGTGTCTGAATCACCCGATATGAATGATTGATGGCGCGCATACCTAGTAACTGATCGTGAAACCCTAGGCGGTGTCCGAATCACCCCATCTGTCGGATTGTTGGCGCACATACTGAGTAACTGATCATGATGCCATAGGAAGTGTCCGAAATGCTCGATCTGTCTGATTGATGGCACGAGTACCTAGTAACTGATCGTGAAACCTGAGATGGCGTCCGAATCGCTCGATCTATCACATTGATGGCACGCGTACCTAGTAACTGATCATGAAGCAGTAGGCAGTATCCGATTCACTCCAGCTGTCGGATTGTTGGTGCGCGTTGACTGATCGCCTATCAGATCGTATAGCCAGATGTGGTACTCCGAATCACTCGATCTGTCGCATCGATGGCACGCGCACACTGATTGTCTTATTGGTGCGTCGCGTAAGATCACATCTCTGCATCACCACAAGATGGGAGAAGGAATGCCGCGCGTCTGTTGAAGGAGGACCAGACGACATTGCTGCTAAGCTGTGCTTATAAGGGTCAGCCCTTGTGGAGGTCATAGTCAGGCAGCTGCATACGGGGCTTGCGCATTTGCTTGGATCGACACACAAGTACTGTGCTCCACAGTACAGATTCACACTTGAGGTGTAAATCGGCCGGACGTACAAGTAGAAGCATGTGAAGAGTGGATGATGCAGTACTTCATCAGTTGATTAGTGTCGCCACCTAGTAGATGAAATACACATTAATTCTGTGCTGCAATGTACAAAACGCAGCGTTCTCAAGCATGCACGTTAGTGGCATATATGCTTTTAACTTTAGATGCACGTAGATGTACGTAATCAATTATAATATAAGGAGTGAGTGTTAAATTCTTGCTCGATAAAAGTCACACACTACAAATAGATCCAGTGTATTGTAAGTGAATGGCTGTGCCAACCACTCTACAGCTCGGACTTATTTTAGTAAGAAAGGTTGTACCCTTGCAGGCAGACCAGTTAGCCTACACTATTGTGCTAGTATATATGCAGAGTTGCGTGATATTATTAGAAGTGCAAAAGAAGGTAGTCTGCACGTATGTTAAATGCACAGAAGATGGGCATTAGTGGTACAGTATAATTTATACATCAACGTGTACACAGATAATCTTCCGTAACCGTGGCAATATACTCGGTATATAAATCGGTACGTATTGCATATTGGTGCAGAAATGGCAATGTGCTTCTTGTCAGAAATGGTTAAAAGGGGTTGTGTCAAGCTTCCAGTTCCTAGTGCTCATATTTGTAAAGGTAGGATTGATAATACGATAATGCTTGTCATGGCTTTGTACGTTTCAATACGTATAGGGCTGCCCTATTGTTACATCATGATGTTGGAACGCATGTGGATATATTACAGCTTTATCTGCAAAGATTGAACGCTTCTTATTACATTTTAACGTACTTCCTGTATTAAAACTGGACATTGTAGTAGCTTGTAGGTTTCGTGATACTGTAGGAAGTACCATATTTTGGAGAAGTATAGGAACTGCTATCTAGCTTCTCTGCAAACCGTTAGTTATCAGTGGTAGCATTCGATGATAACCTACATTAATGTAGCTAAAAAAGGCTACCATGTAAGATAAGGTAAACATGAATGTAAACAAAATAATTTCTTTTCAGTAATGACAATGAGTAGTGCATTCACACCATTGGTGCACCACGCAGGGTGATGACGTTCGGTGTACAATATTATAGAGAACTAAGCTGATAGTCATAACTATGACCAACAGTCATAGCCTTTATCTTTCAAAGAAGAACTGTTAGCAAACAATGATGGACGTGCTTTCAATGAGAATAATCATGGAAGCAGTTATACCTGCTTAATTATGAGCTCAGGTGGTTTTATCGGTGCGAGGTGATTAGAAATCAGTCTGTCTATAACCTTTAAACTTGAGCCAAAACTTATTAGCCTCGCTTTATAATTGCAGATTCACCTTTATGAATCACAAAGATGGAGCTCGTGTGGGCGTGTGTGTAAAGATTGTTGTATATTTACAGAATTGCTTCAGGTGAATGAACGAATGGTTGGACGCGATGTCCGGTGTGTTTTAAACAACAACGGAATTTTTTAGACTGGCTGCACACTCGTTACAGTGTGCGTTTCGTTTGCCCAAATCGTTTCAAATTCTTGTCTTCCCCTGGTTCGGGATCCTGATGTATGAACATTTAGAGAATACTTCGCTACGCGTGCACTCTGCCTGTAAAGCAATTTCTTAACTGAAAACCAGTGGTCAGTAATAAATCATCCCCTTTGCACTATACATATATATATATAACCCATGTGTAAGCTAATAAAATTACTGCATTCTTAAGCTACGCCTACAGTTTTCGGCATTTTGACGTGATCCAAACTGTAGACTTTGGAGACCCATTCCAAAAATATGCTTGGTACTACACTACAGCTGCTGAGTGGCGTGCGTCCTTACACCTAGTGATCGTGCTCCGTGTTCTCGCTGCCACTATCCTAGGGTCGTAATTTTACTCAAGACTTACTACGATTAATTTGGACATTTACTGCAGATACTACACGAGTTGCGTTGCACAGCACAGCAGCCTCATGCACAGTAAAACAACGGCAACAATATCGGTAATAGCTGTACCTCTAGCCTTCGTTGTCTCTACCACAGGCCCGTGTCATTGGGAACGTAGGTTATAGTATTGAAGCTTTATTAGTAGCGGAAACAGGAGCAGCAGTACCATCAACAGCAGTGGTAGCATCAGACAGACAGACAGAAGGCAAAAGCCAGATGACATCTAGCTGCTAAGAGAGATGCTATAGGTAGACAGCATGACAGTTAAGTGCCTATGGCATTTTATTGAATAACAAGCGTTGCTAGCTATGCGAGTATTTCCTCACACGTGGAATATAAGTTGTAGAAAAATGTCCCGCTCGTAATATCCAGAGAATATGTATATATATATATATATATATATATATAGTATACGTCACATATATACCTATATGACATTCTATAAATGACTGCCAACGTGATTTGGCCCTGGCGGTATTCAGCGAGGAATGTGGAGTGCTTCTAAATGTCGAGCGACTGTAGGCTGAGTAGCATTTTGTCATGAAGCCAAGACACTTCCACAAACACGCGGGGCCGCGATCTAGCTCGGACCCCCGTCATCAGTACGCGGCCATATCAGCTGAGCCAGCTAGCTTGGAGAACTATACTGGCCGCGCTGCAAAACGGCACGGATCACTACAAAACGTTTGCACGCGTGCAGAACGCATTTCAGAATTTGACACGTGGGTTTGGGGACATGTAAAATTATGCGCTTTTTATATTTATTTCTATGTAAATGTATATCTATATATACTTAGATGTACGTGTAAGTGTCCGTACGCATATTTATTTATTCATTCAATCATTATTCACCAAAAATCACATTACCCCATCACATATGTTAGAAATAGTTATATATGCTAAATTCAGACCTTAATTTGCAATCTTTATGCCCGAAAAAGCGTAAAATTTCCCAGCGGTAGCTTTTCCTCGCAGAACGAGGGGACTTCCGACGAAGAATTATGATGAGGTTATAACATTATCTATGCTTGCGCACGTGTGACGACTGAGCTGTATATAATATAATATTAATTGTCATAACCATAGAAATAATATACCAGTTAGACTCTATACCAATCGTGGCTCTGATAATTATCTTCTAGTCATTCACTAAGCAAGGATAAAATCTAATTATTTAATACCGATTAGTTATTATTCACTACTGATATATATAATTATTATCAGGAGATCAGTGACAAATCGGCCTACAGCTCAGCGCGTCTGGAGTTCGGTGACGTCATTTCTTCCGTAGTTCTAATTTTTCACGCCAGAGGCAGGTCCGTACTCAACAAAAATGGAGTCGATGCATGACAACAAACAATCATTTTCATGCAATATAAAGTGAATATTAATTCAGTTTAAATTGCTAGTGGTCCATTCATTACAAAAATGTTGGTACCAGTGTTTGACTTCAAACTGAAACATCGCATCAATCCTCGCATGGTAACTGTTGGAAAGTATGACGGTATACATCCATGTCTTACTGCGGCAACTACAGGTGGAAAGGTGAGAGAACATTGATTTATGATATGATTTACGTAACCATCCGTGGCGTAGCCAGGACTTTTTTAACAGGGGGGGGGCAAAAACAGCGAACTGCGCAAAATATTGGATGACTTAATATTTTAATGGTTTCTCTGCCTCCCTCTCCACGCCCTACGCTCTCCCACCTCTCAGCTCTGCAATCTTTGACATTTGTTATGGGTGCCATCACAGGCACTTGGAGCGTCTCAATAAAACAAAAAGGTAAATAAACACGAAGTGTATTTACTACCAAAGTCTTAATGTTTCTCTACTCTATTTCGCCTATGATCACCTGTAAATGCCGGTCAAATGCTCATCTGCAACACACAAGTACACCGCACGCTAAACCGACCAGGCTCTCCGACTGTTACACGGCGGAGGAGTGTTAAGCGAGATGGGAACTTGTGGCTAAGTGCACGTTAGCTGCTGCACACTGACACATAAATACTCCTGATAGTGATAAATATATAGACACTATATATTTATGTGTCAGTGTACAGCAGCTAGCGTGCGGCGGCCAGTGTGTGTTTGCAGATGAGCATTTGGAAGGCATTTACAGGAAATTGTTGGCAATAATAGGTGAAAGAGAGTAGAGAAACATTAAGACTTTGGTAGTGAATAGATTTCGTATTTATTTAGCATTATATTTTATTGAAACGCTCCAAGTGCCTGTGGGCGCCATGCAAAGAGGCGATATTTTTGTTCGTTGTTCTCTGCTCTCAAGATAAGTAACTGTTTAGTGGCAGATCCAGGATTCCAAGGAGGGGGTGAAAAACAGGCGGGGCGTATGGGGGTCCTCCCCTATAAAATTTTGAAAATGTAGATCACAGGAGATGGTATTTGAGGCACTTTTGAGTACATGTACAGCTTTCATTCTGACTACGACAATTCTCTTTTTAGTAGAACAATTCTTTTTTTCTTTTTTTCTTTTTAACTTTTGGATCAACAGGTGGACCATGATCCTAACCCTGACTACGCCACTGGTAACCATTGAGTAATGCTTAGTCTTTAAAATTCATGGAACTATACCAAAGTAATATGAGTATCATCATTATTGCTTTGTTGTAGCGTGTTGTTAAAATATCTGTGCAACTAATTGAATAATTAAAATATTACTGTAATTAATTAATCACATAAGTATAAAAGACATTACGCAGCATGCATTGCATGATAACAATGCACTGCGTACGCCAGAAGTTCCATTCAACTTCAAGAAACGGTCTCGCATCATTAACCACATATTCTTGTAACAAGGGGTTTGTAATGAAGTGGGAGAAGTAGGAGACGTTTTGTGTGGGCGGTTAATCTTTCTGTTAAACACTTCTGGCAAGACCATGCATATACGATAGAATAATCCATAAGCCATATAGTATATATGATATAGCCTAGGCATATGTAGTCTCAACTACGTCAGGCTATATACTGTACAGTGTTTTCCCTGCATCGACACGAGCGAGGCGGGCCGCTTCACTCAAATTCTCAGCCGCCACACAGAAATTTGTCCAAAACACTGCCTCGCTGACGAAACTTTTGACAATTTGAAAAAGAGATTCAAGAGTTTCATACAATCTGTCCAGAATAGCTTAGGCCATAATAAAAATATTGTTTGTTTGCCCTCACCCGACCGACCCGCCAAAAAGGGGCTGACTAACAAAATTTTATTGATCTTTTTTATTTTTTTTTAACAAATTGTATCACTGTACATTATATAAATCTGTAGGCAATACATTATATGTACCAACCACACAAGCACACCCGAGCATGTAGACACCACGCTGAATTTGTAAAAAGACCCTCGCCCTCAAAAAAAAGCCCACCTACCTACCCAAACTTTTCAGCCTGGGTCGGGTGAGGGCAAACAAATATTGTAACCTTAGAATGCACCAAATTGCACCATTTTTTCAATAATTTTTCAGGGGAGCAAAGGATTGCTCAGGAAAGGACACGCAAACACACCACATAATAATTTACCACCTCACAGACCTTTCTGGCCAAGGGAAACACTGCTGTACATGTGTGCCATAACTTGTCTCCTGCAGGTTTTCATTCACAACCCTCACAGTCGAACAACAAAAGCAGGTGGTCGCATTGTGTACAGTGGCACAGATCAAGACCTGGTTTTCCTCAACATAAACCAGGCCATCAGTGCAGTGAGTGCAGGTCGATTGGATCCATCGTCAGATGCTGACTGCCTGGTGATTGGAACCCAAACTAATGTGCTGGCGTATGATGTTCAGAATAACTCTGATCTCTTTTATAAAGATGTAAGTGCCATCTTGTATAAGTTACGATAACGCTCACACCTTTTCCACTAGAACAGTGCTCCCGTATTGATTGCACCAGGATGTAGGCTGTAAATATTTATGTATCTTTATATGAATTAGACTGTCACACGATTGAAGAAAGACTCTTACAACCTAACTTTATACACTATGCATATGTTAGTTTGAAATGGTTGTTCTTTATATAACACGTTGTTCAAAATTAAATTAGGTGAAGTGAAAAATTAGAGATATTATTAACCCAAATAAGTGAAAATATAAATTTTTGAAACAGTTTATATATTTCAGTAGCCTGAAACTGCTATAATGGGAAATTGTATTATTCCAATAATTTTATTGTTGTTGGTCAATTCGGAAGTAGTTGCATAGTTATATATGCATTCATCAGGTGTCAGATGGAGTGAACTCCATTGTGCTTGGAATGCTAGGAAACAGGAACACACCTATAGCTATTCTGGGAGGCAACTGCTCTGTACAGGGTTATGACTGGGAAGGAGAGGATGTGTACTGGACGGTTGCTGGTGACAATGTCTGCTCTCTTGCTCTGTGTGACTTCAATTCAGATGGAAAACTTGAGGTAGGATTGGAACATATGGACTGGGTACAAACATTTCTGAAAATGACCGAACATTTCATTAAATGCACACAAATTAAATAACCAAATGTGCCCATTTGAAGTTAATTATTATCATCCAAAGGGAAGTTAAAGTGTCATTTGAATTGATTTTATATAACAGCTAGTAGTTGGGTCAGAAGACTATGACATACGAGTATTTGAAGAGGATGAGCTCATAGCAGAGATGACAGAGACTGAGGTATGGACATCTACATAATCATCACACACTCACTTGTGAAAATGCAATTTGTGTGCGATTACACAGCCTAGTTACTATAGTTTATTGTCAATATCCTTGGGTATATGTCAAGATTTATCATTTAATATATAATATAATGGTTAATCTACTTTAGTACTTTAGTGTAACATAAAGTTTTGGTGTACTATAGAAAGTTGTATTTAGTATTGATAACTATTATTTTATATATAGGTTTTCCACAGCACAGCATTGGCCATATTGCCTGGCAATAGCTGATCTAAAAATGTGTGAGAAATATTTCCCATACAAAATTATATGTAAGCAACTAAGAAGTCAAGGGACCTATCTCTTATCTATGTTTAAACTTGTTCATTTGTTGTTTTAAATACATTTGTGTTCACATTTTTTGCAGGCAGTAACAGCAATTTGTCCAATAATGGGAAGTAGATTTGGATATTCCCTAGCCAATGGGACAGTTGGGGTCTATGATAGGACTGCACGATATTGGCGAATAAAGGTATTGTATTTCTTTAATAGGCCTACAGTGTGGAGTATGTAGTAGTCATGATTGTAATGTATGCAATATATTGATAAATTACGAAAAAATATTGATGAAAACAACCAGACGTAAATCCCTGTTGGTTACTTCTTTTAACCGAACAGAATCTTAAAAATGTATGCTGAATATATGTTAAATGTATCATATATATGCATAATATATGTAAATTTTATCATTACAAACAAACTGCAAAGTGGAATCCTAGTAAAAATGCTAGTGAAAACAGTGTGGAAATATTCCACTTATAATTCAATTAATAGAAATAGCATCTTATTTCACCACTTTACTTCCAGCGTAGAATATATGCACTGCTATGTGTAACTTTATATTGACTTCATTTACTTACAAATCAAAGCATACACCAGGCATACACCAGGCGTACTGCCGTACATGACTCATTTGTTACGAAATGTATTACAGTCTAAGAATCAAGCCATCTGCATTCAGAGTTTTGACTTGGATTCCGATGGTGTTCCGGAACTCATAACTGGATGGAGTAATGGGAAGGTATAGCATTTACATGCATAATTTACAAATTTTGCATGCAATTTGCTAGTTATGTATATATTATCAGAACTACACATTAAATTGGATGATAAACTGTTTTAATGTGTAATCCTGACGTTATGATCTACTAAGATGCATGTGTGCATGCATGCGTGTGTGCGTGTGTGTATTTATATACGTATTGACATTCGTTTCTATAATTCACAGTTTTCTAAAGTGTAATCCACATTTATGATCCCTTCTACTGTGCATATTTTCTGCGCTATAGATTGATGCCAGGAGCGATCGCACGGGCGAGGTCGTGTTTAAAGATACAATGAAGTCAGCCGTAGCGGGATTGGTGACAGCTGACTACAGAATGGATGGGAAAACTGAACTCATCTGTTGCTCTGTAGAAGGAGAAGGTAAATGTTGTGTGTATGTAGTTTATCTGTTATAAAGGTGAACTTATGGGTTAGAACATAAGATATTTGTGATAGAAACTACAACCGATGCTTGTCTCTGCCATACTATTACAATCAATAGTGCTTTCAGTATCTTCTTCATGAACACATCTTTCGTACAGGTTTTTTCACCAGTTATTTTCAAACCATATAAGGATACTATACTAACCTAAGGATACTATACAACCTAATGATACCTATACAAGGTATCCCAAGGAACTAAGGATACCTATACAATCCTATTATAGTTAAACTGATTTGAAAACAGAAGACACAGGTTTGTTATCATATTACAGTCAGAGGGTATTTGCCAGCACCGCCTGAGCTGAAGGGAAACTTGATGGACACCAACACAGACCAGGATATCGTCAGAGAACTTTCTCAGAAGAGGCAGGTAAGAAAATAAATATTCCTATCATATATTGCATTCTTTTTGTCTCCCAATCCTCCTCCTCTCTCTTGGTTTCTTTCCCTGGCTTGCTCTTTCTCTCTCCTCCCTTGCTTCTTCCCTCATTTCCCCTTCTTTCCTCCCTCCCCACCCCCTCTTTCTCTCCTTCCCTCCCTCTCTCCCTCCCTCCATCCCTCCCTCCCTTTCTCCCTCCCTCCATCCCTCCTCCCTCACTCCCTCCCTTCCTCACTCTGACATGTAAGAAAGAAAACCATGTCTGACATTGGAAGATATATCTCGATAATAAGAAGTCAACTGTTAGTGCGTAAGTCAGATCGAAGGACAACCCATATTTTGATGCAATTTTTTTCGAGTTTTACGTAATAAATTATCACTGAAAAACGGGGTGAAGATGTGTATTTTTTGTGTTTCGTGTGTGCCATACTCATCGCAAATTCATTAGCTCCTCATTCTAATGCATCATATGTGGCTGTGTGCATGATAGAGCAGCTAAGGTGCCACACACGTATTATTTAATTTAAAATAAATGTACATTATTCATAAATAAAGTAATATTACCTGCACTAACCTATCTATCTATGATCTGCAGAATCTACTGTTGGAGTTAAAGAATTATGAAGAAAATGCCAAGGCATCTGCTATCCAGAAACCTGCTGGACTGACTGCCATGGATGGTTCTGATGTGGGAATCATACCAGTAAGTATATGAACATGTAAAAACAGATAAGAATACTCAAGTATGCCTGATAGTGCTTAATCTTTTGTGCACGGCTTGCCTTATTTTTATTGTTATTCATATATATTTATGTAAGCAGATTCGGAGAGGGATTATATACACCTCACATGCATTTCTTGAGTGTTTGTGTACTTTCTAATGTTCTGGTGAAACAATCAAAATGATGAAATACCGTTAGAAAGTATAATATTAATAATTATGCACAGCATCACTGTGGAAGAATGATTCTTCAAAATGCACTGAGCACACATTAAAGTGAAAAAACGTGTATTTGTAACTTGCGTATATGGCAGGAGTGATTAACTCCCATGATCCCATCAAATATTTCAAGACAGTGATTTTCAGCTCACCTGATATTTTCAAAAGGCAAACCCTGGCGTATTAAGAACTTAACATTTATCTTGTCTACGCTATATACGCTCGTGTACATTTTTCGTGTTCTCAGGCAAACACGCAGTTGCAGACGACTCTAATCGTTAGGATGGAGTCAGAGGTGGAGCCGACCATGAGTCCGGAACTAACGCAGCAGCTCAGCAAACCCCATATCGAACTCTCCGTGACGACAACTAACAGCTGCATTATTAGAGCTGTGATGATATTCGCCGAAGGAATATTTGAAGGGGAGAGTCATGTTGTGTGAGTATCGCATATTTATGCTGCATCTTTAGTTGTGTATATGAGCTTGTTTCAAGTTTAAAATAACTGCCTAAAGATACGTAACTAAAACAATAGTCATGACATCTACAGAATTTATTGAAAAGTTAGACATTTCTATGATCTAATCTTCGATATCTAAGTTATTCATTTCTCTCATGCAAGCTGTATACGAGATTAAGTAGTATCATGCAGAATGTAAAAAGCAGATTCAGCCATGAGATTGAGATTTTGAGCTAATTAAGTTGCTTAAAGCTGGTAATAGAATGTTTTTGTCATTGAGTATCACTTTCATATTATAGACATCCTCACCAGAGTCGTCTAGCCAACAGCATCGCGATTCCCCTGACTCCACCGAAGGACATGCCTGTTGACCTGCACTTGAAAGCATTCGTTGGAAATAGGACATCGTGAGTACGACAGTAAATTCGTTGGATGATAGTCGCAGCATTTATATGAACCTGTGAGATTATTGTAACATGTGACACAGCATGCCCAGTAGGTGGCGCCAAGTACTTCCCCGATGCCAGTGGCAAACAACAACGTAGCAGCCTGGACTGACAAGCAAGAACTTCGTTGTTCGTATTATATATTAAACGTTGGTTCTTCAATCTTTGGAAATACAACAGAACCGTAAATGTTAATGTATGATAGTGGTTATGATAGAGCTTTCTCTTTCTCCCAGTGTTTCCCCTATAAGGGACTTGTAATTACTGACGATATAAATATTCACAACCTATTATAAGGAGGTATTTTGAAGTTCTCATGAATTACGTCTAGTACGTACTAATTTTGCTGTTTTCTGTGTTTTCATTTATTAGGTCACAGTTTCATGTTTTTGAGCTCTCCAGACAGCTTCCGAAATTCTCTGCATATATGCTGATGGACCAGAAAGTCCCATCCCCAGCTGGATCGGTCACATTTCACCTGAATGATCGTGCACAGAGAGTGAGTATACATGTACATGCATGGAAGTCATAATTCATTGTTGTATTCTCTTGGCAGATAATTCTTCCCTGTTCACGGTAATAAACGGGATAGTATTCGTACCTGTACATGGTAACAGACAGGAAACAATTCTTCCCTGTTCACGGTAATAAACGGGATAGTATTCGTACCTGTACGTGGTAATAGACAGGAAACAATTCTTCCCTGTTCATGGTAATAAACGGGATAGTATTCGTACCTGTACGTGGTAATAAACAGGAAACAATTCTTCCCTGTTCATGGTAATAAACGGGATAGTATTCGTACCTGTACGTGGTAATAAACGGGATAGTATTCGTACCTGTGAACAGACAGGAAACAATTCTTACCTGTATAGGTCATCATGTGATCAACCAAAATTTCTTGCTGAACGAGGATTTGGAGCTTTCCGGGATCCTCCACCTGAACTTTCTATGCATCGCGTGACAGCAGTCCTTGAGAATTTCAATGGAGACAAATGGACAGGTTAGCTAAGCCTACACTAACTGCTTGCTCTCCTATGTGCATCTCATTGTCTATCACGATCTCAATTATTGACTGTGACTGAATGTATAGCAGGATCCTTACGCAAAGATTTAGATCACATAGTCTGCTATCTGCTACACAAACTATTGACATCGGCCATGTAATAACACTGCAACCTGTGAACTAAATTACTATCGACCCCCACTTTCCTTTTTATTAATAAAGCAGTAAACAGTCAACATAGTGTGCATGTTCTTCTTGCGTAGGTTGTGATTGAAACGGACAACATGGAGCTGGCAGGCGATCTCATACAGGATAACTTCGTATCTCAACATTCAAGATCTGCAGACAACTGGCCGAATTTTTGCGGAAAGAGATGGCCAGACTGAAGGAAATTCTTGTTAAAGTATGACATATATACTTACTTAGAGTAATTTATACACTTATGCACTTTTTATATACTTATAGACTTACTACCATTACATATGTGTCGCTGAGAGATATAATCTTTATTGTAGGAAGAGCTAGTAGATGTCATTTTAAGCTAGTAGATAATAAGATAATAATAATGTCAGTAACTCATAGAATATCACCAATTTTCCGCCTAGGTTGACGAGTTCCACTCGGTCAGGCAGAAGTTGACGCTGAGATGGCTGACCACTCTAACATTATCCGCAGCATGGGTCGTCAGAGCTGAGGATGCCAGACTCATGGAGTGACCTGACGTGTAATAGCTCCCTTCGTCAAAATCTCACAGAGCGAATATTGTATCTATTCATTGCGAGACATTGCATTTTTTCTGGGATGAAGCATTCTATTTGAGACTGTTTCTGCAGGCGGTTACGTATCTATAAATTTCGAGATATTTGTTACCTTTCTTATGTCACAAAGCCTTTTATTGGAAAAAGTTTTGCGTGCTAATGTATATGTATATTTGTTTTCGTCTTCGGCACGGCAGGAAAAACATGAGGAAGAACTATATGGAGCTATATAATCTCAACAAGGATCTGATCAGTGGGTATAAGATCAGATGTAACAATCACAGTGAGCTGCTCATGTGTTTTAAAAGTCGTCAACGACAGACTATACAAAGGCCGGTCGCTTGCGAGGTAGGTGCAGCATGCATGCGGTAACTGCAGTGATCAGGTACAGCTGCTTGGTTTTGTCCCCTTCTTTAACCAGCTTTAATGCATTGTGATTTTATTTTTAATGAATTGATTTCAGGCAGTGTAAATTGCATCACTGTGTCTAGAGCTGTTCAGAAACTGGCCTATCAGTTTAGTGTGATTTGTAGTTTTAGCCTATCCACGTTAAATACTGCAATAGGGCATTCTAAAATCATTCTTTGTAATGGCACATGCCAGCATGTACGAGCTGGTTACCTTGATCGGCCTGGCAACAGTATCCAAGCGGCAATGGTTATATCATTATGCACATGTCAATCGTAGTATTTATGCTCTGTCTGTAATCTTTCAGTTGGGAAGTACAAAACACAGGTGATAAGCAGCTGCAGAGGTGCCATAAAAAATAACAACGTCAGCATGCTTTTCAAGGTCATCAGATCTGGTTCTACCTGAGCGCGAACGTCATAGTAGCATAGATGCCTAGCAGTGGTACAGATGTACTGTGATATCACGCGTGTCCACATCCAACCCCTATCATACTGCCGAGGGAAATAAAAGGTAGAATAGTGGTAAAAAATTTATGTTGAGAGTGGGCAAGTAATGCTGATAGGGTCTATGTCCTCCAGGGTACTATCGCGAGGTACCCTGGGTACGGTTCGATATATCGGAAAGTACCTCGGGGTACTATACGATATGTCGCTGCGTACCCTGCATTGTCCACCCATAGAAATAGATAGATAACCTAGAATGCTGATTGTCCATAAAATTGACGCCACGCGAGCGACGCTATGCGCCCCTATCAGAGAACGGGACACTACCGCGGGAAATCCGTGTTTACATTGACTAACTATAGCGATCACCTGCTCTTTCGAATCGCTCCCAAACTTTTAATACAGCACAATTTCTAATATACTTATGCAATATTGTCCTCTTAGGTATTAGGGCCCCTGCAAAACATTTTTTCCATTTGTAAACCTCATGGAATCTATGAATTATGTGTTTAATAATGTGACTAGTCAGACACGGTACTAGAACGTAGCATTCGGCCAAACTGTACTAGACTGCCGCGCTCGACGAGCAGTTCCACTCGCGTTACACTGACACGCGCGTGGAACTGTCGAGCGCGGACCAGTCTAAAGCTGTTCTCGACGGACGCGGGAGTAATTCCACAGAAAAGTACCACGTACCTATTTGAAATCCAACACCACAAATTGACAATTGTTGCAGAAAATATTTCAATTTTACAATCAACTAGAGAAAAAGTTACATACGAAGGAATCTTCTGAAGACAAGCTAAACGTTCGAGACTGATGAAACACACACAAAACAGACACAAATCTATCAGTATCAGGTGTCAGTACATTTTTATTCTTTATTGTAAATATATATATATATACAACCAAAAAGTAACGAATTGTTCAAAGACTATATGGAATTATCACATATCTTGATAACGAACACGATACTACATGCAATTTATTAAAACTACATACAATACATGTGTAAAGATTGATTTGTAATAATAACAACAAATTTGTTGGAAACCTTTACAAAATAAATTATGCCTATAAGGTCTATCCCTAGTCTGTGTCACTACCTGTAACAGTTCAATCTGAGTTATAATATAGTTACTATATTGCATATTAAAAAATAGTATAGGTTAGTGTAATATAATTGTTCATTGTATTAACTTTTATTCCGATATAAGATCAAAACCATAAGTGTTTAAGCCGGGCTTATGTCGGCCTTGCGACGCGACGCGATTGCCTTGCGACTGATTTTCTGCAACTGGTTGCAAGTCGCAGCGACGATCGCGACGCAGAGAAAGTTCGACCTAAGCACCCCTGCGACTGCCAGCGACGGGTCTGCGACTGTTTGCGACTGGAAAATTGTCAGTCGCAACGCGATCGCAGTGAGTCGCACATGTTCTACTCTACTATGTTCTATGACGCGCGACTGGTTCGACCGGTCGCAAGCATTGTTTTCATGGTTACTACCCGACATAAGCTGCCTTGCGATCGCTGCGACGAGATTCGAATGCATAATAAACAATGCACGTGAATAAAACAATCAGTGCCATACATGTCATGTACACAACATGCACCACAGCCAACAAATCATGTAAACTCATTTAGTTGCGCGATCAATAGGCGATCGTCACTTCTACTGGCTGCGACTGGTCGCAGGCAGTCGCCGTCAGTCACGTCGCAGTCGACCTAAGCACTGCAGTCGCAGTGATTGCAGTGCGTCGCGTCGCGTCGCAAGCATTCGCAACCCGACATAAGCCCGGCTTTAGAGACCACATGAAAAAGCTATCATTGAGAATTAAAAAGTGACCTGATAATGTCACTTATCACAGAATTTTATATATTTCTGTCACATGCAATCTACCAATCGGCCCGGTTTTACAGGGTTTGCTGGCCGGTTTATCAGCTAGAGCTAGTTGGGATGCTAGAGTTCGATAAGATTGCACATGCCCGGTTCTAAAAGATTTGTAAGCGTACATGTTTGGGCCTTTCTGATCATCTCTGACTGTCGGTGAAATTGGTAAAGTAGAGGTTAGGTTTTAGGTTAGTTACTTGTATGTACCATATTTAGATTAGTCTAGAACACTTTCGTCTAAGAGTAAAACTGGAAAATTGCGTGAGTGTATCGATTACTTCGTTATTAATAAGCGTAAGAATGCACAACACAATCTCGAGATTGCCGTGCAGTCTGCCGATCGGTAGATTGCACTGCGCGATCTTAAGAATGTGCCGCGCAATCTTAAGATTGCATAGATCGGAAGAGTGCGCGCAACACTTTGTTCACAATCACATGCTTATAATCTCATGTTAGCACTAGCAGTGAACAAAACTTTAGTTGTTATAGATCTTCTTCATTTTGCATGACAGGGTCTATTTGAACCAGAAACTGCTACGCCATCACTCAGTGTGAAACTAGACCATGCCTATGCCTTTGATACCATCCAGGGTGCACAAATGTTGAAGCACAAGCTAGTTTTTGCAAACACAAAGATCAGTTCATTATAGAAGAAGCTTAAACTGCAATGCTGCAAAGTACAGTGAAAGCAATCTCAGATCACTAGTCAAAGAACTGCTCACAAGCCTAAAAAAACAAATATACTATCTGAGGAGTGTGAAGAAAATATAGAGCTCTGGCTTTTCTGAGTTTATTTTATCTATCATATAAAATATGACAAAAATGTCTCCCGCCGACACACGCCCGACACCTCTCGTCTTCTCGCTACGGCGACACGCTCCACGTAGCAACACGTCTCTCCTGACGACACACGCCGGACACCTCTCGTTGTCTCACTATGGCGACACACGCTCCACGTAGCAACACGTCTTTCCCGACGGTATTGGTTACAATGGCTGTCGGTGTAAATAGACATTGGAAAGTTCCTCTTGGTTATTTCCTTAGCCACGGCAGTTTAAACGGTGTCACCCAAGCTGTCCTGATAAAGCAATGTATGGAAAAGCTCCATGGTATTGACGTGATGGCGATTGCATTGACATCCGATGGATCGCAGGTGAACCAGACAACTGCAAAAATGTTAAGAGCATCCACAGATCCAGACAGGTTGAGAAGCACTTTCCCTCATCCATGTGACAGAACCAGCGTCTCTCTCATCTTTGATGTGTGCCGCATGTTGAAGTTGATGCGGAATCTTTTCGGTCAGTACAAGGTTCTCAGAACTGTGGATGGAAACGTGAATTGCTTTAGAATTATTATATTTATCAATTCTATTAAATTTAATTATCTGCTAGTCTGTCAGTCGAGCCTCAAATGTTTTTAGATTTGGTGAACATACAGTGTTTCGCTTAGGTTTTCCATGGTTGTACTATACAGTATACAATTACTGAATGAGTATTTCCTCATGCCTCTATTGACCTATGCACACACAGTTTATATTTGTGGCATTGTGTGCTGTGGACTCTACGTTGTAGATCTAAGAAGACATCTATGGGTTGTAGCTATTGAACATTGAACATCTTGTATGTTCTATCTTGGAGTAATCATTCTGAATCATCAGAATGATTACTCCAACGTTCTATCATGTCGCTGCGGAGACGTCTATAAGTATAAGCTGAAGTCGGGAGGTGTAAACGTTTTAGTCTCTCCTCGTAAGGTACATCTTTAATAGATTATATTGTTATAAGTTATAACATATAGATCTATATCAGTATATGTTACCATTACCTGTAAATATTACATTTTTAACCGAACGTTGTATTGATGCAAATGACACGGTAAAACTAATACGAGTACTTTATAGACCATCCATAACAAAATGTTATGTTATTTTAAAGGACCACAATGGAAATAAGTGTGCTAGTCACGCTTTTTGTGTTTTCATCCTCGATAATTATCTAGCTGCATATTGTTTAAATTTATGCTCTTATCGTTGTAATGTAAGCTTTGTTAATTATCGAAATAAACAATCTATCTATCTATCCTCATACCGAGTTGTGTTCTACGGCGTACTACCAACTACGGAAATGAAATCTGTTTCAGTGTTTGCAGGTTATGTGACATTATCTATAAATATAATATAATTATTCTCTAGTCTATGCAATGTCTTTGATCAGTTACTTACTAACCTTTATTGTTACTGAGTTACTATAAGTTATAACCAGGAGCGTAGCTGACCCATTTTTCCTGTGAGGGGGTTGAAGCAAATACAGTCTTTCGGTATACTGTATGTATTACTATTAGTATTACTAGTGACAGTGTACTATTACGTTGTAATAGTATACGGTACGATTCGATTTTTGGATGTATAATTTAATAAACCACGCTTGACACAAGCCAACTATTGATCTAAGGCAACTTACCTTAGCCAAGCGATGATTATCATAAAATTATATAGCTCCAAGAAACGGTCTTGCTAGGGTCAGAAGACCGTATAGACAGACTGTAGATCAGATCAGTCGCACAGTACCGCACAGCCTCGGCGGGCTAGAGCCTAGTCATACAGCAAACGTTTCAGCTCCACTTTGCTATCGACATTTCTTCCTCGCAGTCGTAGTTGTTCATATAATACCTCCGAATTACTTCATACCGACTATTCATATACACAAAATTTGTTTCTTTTCGCTTATGTACATCGTTTTGTGTTTATAAAACTAATTTTAATACCAGAAACGAGAAATTTGCCATAGACCGCCATGCTGTGATTTACAATAGCCTCCCGCACTGTGAGGGCGCTGTCATCGCTTGCTCTGGCGTCATTTGTTAAGTACAGGGAGATGGGCGAATCAGCATTCTAGGTTATCTATCTATTTCTATGGTCCCACCGTACCCTGACTTTATGCTCCTGTTCCTGTATGCCTCTGGAAATTGTATGTATCACCGTGTAATTATGCAACATGCAGGTTGATAGCACTGTTGTGCCTTGGGTGTGTACATTTGGAAAGATTTCTCTCAGATCATGAATATTTGAATGATATGAAAATGAATATGAAAATGAAAATATGAATATATGAAAAAGGAAAAGAAAAATATAGTCAAACATAGCATACATTTTTTATTGGATTGCGATGTTTTGAGGTTTCTTCTATGTGATGTGGTAACTTGACAGGTGTATGTATTACGACATCAGTTGGCTGAAAGTCCGGGTACGGTGGGACAATGCAGGGTACGCAGCGACATATCGTATAGTACCCCGAGGTACTTTCCGATATATCGAACCGTACCCAGGGTACCCTCCGATAGTACCCTCGGGGACATAGACCCTATCAGCGCAAGTAATGTGTTATGCTGAAAGTGACACTTTACACAACATCTTAAGAGCTGATGGATGTTCTTCAGAGGGGGTTTACCAACCTGAACATTTCAATAGAGCATTAAAGAGGAAGATAATGGCACTACTACAGAAGCACTCGTTCATTGTAAATTATTATACCCCCATGAATAAGATGATGTCCATCGAAGCCACAGGTACTTGTCTGACCACCTTACTTTTTTCAACGTACTCTTGCAATTCTACTTGGCCAGTGTAATATTATTACACCTAGCATCATGATCAGTATTGTTGGTGAGATTTTTTGCTCCGAAAGCTCCCGGCTACTATTTTCAAGTTCAAGCAAGTTTTGCCAAAAAAATTCTAGCATTTCAATATACATTATTTAGGTCTCTAGATATATTATTGTTGTATCAAGTTATATATAAGGTAATGAAATTCGTCCAAGGAACATTTAGGTATCTAAGTGTTTTTAGGGAACCACTGCAGGGGGCAGTTTAGCCTACGGGTTGATACACTGCCCCCTGTGGCTATTGTAATTGATTAGAGCATCAAAGCCTAGAGGTACAGCAGTGTATATATCTTTACTAGTGACATATTTGTGTATTGTCACCACTCATTTAACATTCCGTCCATTTCTATTTATTTGTTATATGTCTGCGATGTGTTCTCATTGTGTAAAAATTATCGCCCGAAAGTTTAGTTAAGACAAATAAAGGAGATCGATCTTTTTGAATTTAGTCAATAATTGCGTTTGTCTTAATTTACACAAACGTGTTTACTGTGTATTCAAATTTTATTCATACTATGCTTACACGCGCGTCACACTTGGTAAGTCGATAAATAGAGCAAAGAAGTCTGGTGGGGAACGTTGGTGGGAAAGGTTGGCAAAAAGATAGCGGGTGGAAGGGTGTTCTATCAGATAAGTTGGTAGCTGCACCTTTCAGGTCTTTCTTTCGACCAGTAACGTCATGTGAGTCACGCGAATAGTCACCAGTTTCACAGGTGGAAAATTAATTAATTATAGCTATTATACTATAGTATTCTGGTTTTCATTATGACAATCAGCGTCCAACTGTCTAGGTCTGTAAAAGCCAGCAACAAGGGGAGGGTAGAGGATGGGGATTGAAATGGCAAAGAGATGGAGGGAATGTGAGGGGAGGTGGTAGAGGAGGGAGAGAGAGTACCAGAGATAGCGGTAGAAAGAAGGTAAAAGATAAGAGCGAATAAGAAGATAGATGAGGGTGAGACGATCGAGGAGAGGTTCGTGGAGGACGAAGGAAATTGGTTGGAAATGGAGAGGAGGTAGATGAGGTAAGAAGTTGGGCGAGTTTGAGAAGAATGAAGTTATGACTGATTGTCCAATAAAATTGACCGCCAGCGAGCGCGCTTAGCGGCCCCTATCAGAGAACGGGAGGCACTACCGCGGGAAATCCGTGTTTACATTGACTAACTATAGCGATCACCTGCTCTTTCGAATCGCTCCCAAACTTTTAATACAGCACAATTTCTAATATACTTATGCAATATTGTCCTCTTAGGTATTAGGGCCCCTGGCAAAACATTTTTTCCATTTGTAACCTCATGAATCTATGAATTATTGTATAATGTTGGACTAGTCAGACACGGTACTAGAACAGTAGCATTCGGCCAAACTGTCCTAGACTGGTCCGCGCTCGACAGTTCCACTCGCGTTACACTGACACGCGCGTGGAACTGTCGAGCGCGGACCAGTCTAAAGCTGTTCTCGACGGACGCGGGAGTAATTCCACAGAAAAGTACCACGTACCTATTTGAAATCCAACACCACAAATTGACAATTGTTGCAGAAAATATTTCAATTTTACAATCAACTAGAGAAAAAGTTACATACGAAGGAATCTTCTGAAGACAAGCTAAACGTTCGAGACTGATGAAACACACACAAAACAGACACAAATCTATCAGTATCAGGTGTCAGTACATTTTTATTCTTTATTGTAAATATATATATATATACAACCAAAAAGTAACGAATTGTTCAAAGACTATATGGAATTATCACATATCTTGATAACGAACACGATACTACATGCAATTTATTAAAACTACATACAATACATGTGTAAAGATTGATTTGTAATAATAACAACAAATTTGTTGGAAACCTTTACAAAATAAATGATGCCTAAGGTCTATCCCTAGTCTGTCACTACCTGTAACAGTTCAATCTGAGTTATAATATAGTTACTATATTGCATATTAAAAAATAGTATAGGTTAGTGTAATATAATTGTTCATTGTATTAACTTTTATTCCGATATAAGATCAAAACCATAAGTGTTAAGCCGGGCTTATGTCGGCCTTGCGGACGCGACGCGATTGCCTTGCGACTGATTTTCTGCAACTGGTTGCAAGTCGCAGCGACGATCGCGACGCAGAGAAAGTTCGACCTAAGCACCCCTGCGACTGCCAGCGACGGGTCTGCGACTGCTTGCGACTGGAAAATTGTCAGTCGCAACGCGATCGCAGTGAGTCGCACATGTTCTACTCTACTATGTTCTATGACGCGCGACTGGTTCGACAGCGCAAGCATTGTTTTCATGGTTACTACCCGACATAAGCTGCCTTGCGATCGCTGCGACGAGATTCGAATGCATAATAAACAATGCACGTGAATAAAACAATCAGTGCATACAGTCATGTACACAACATGCACACAGCAACAAATCATGTAAACTCATTTAGTTGCGCGATCAATAGGCGATCGTCACTTCTACTGGCTGCGACTGGTCGCAGGCAGTCGCCGTCAGTCACGTCGCAGTCGACCTAAGCACTGCAGTCGCAGTGATTGCAGTGCGTCGCGTCGCGTCGCAAGCATTCGCAACCCGACATAAGCCCGGCTTTAGAGACCACATGAAAAAGCTATCATTGAGAATTAAAAAGATGACCATGATAATGTCACTTATCACAGAATTTTATATATTTCTGTCACATGCAATCTACCATCGGCCCGGTTTTACAGGGTTTGCTGGCCGGTTTATCAGCTAGAGCTAGTTGGGATGCTAGAGTTCGATAAGATTGCACATGCCCGGTTCTAAAAGATTTGTAAGCGTACATGTTTGGGCCTTTCTGATCATCTCTGACATGTCGGTGAAATTGGTAAAGTAGAGGTTAGGTTTTAGGTTAGTACTTGTATGTACCATATTTAGATTAGTCTAGAACACTTTCGTCTAAGAGTAAAACTGGAAAATTGCGTGAGTGTATCGATTACTTCGTTATTAATAAGCGTAAGAATGCACAACACAATCTCGAGATTGCCGTGCAGTCTGCCGATCGGTAGATTGCACTGCGCGATCTTAAGATGTGCTGCGCAATCTTAAGATTGCATAGATCGGAAGAGTGCGCGCAACACTTTGTTCACAATCACATGCTTATAATCTCATGTTAGCACTAGCAGTGAACAAAACTTTAGTTGTTATAGATCTTCTGTCATTTTGCATGAACAGTCTATTTGAACCAGAAACTGCTACGCCATCACTCAGTGTGAAACTAGACCATGCCTATGCCTTTGATACCATCCAGGGTGCACACAAATGTTGAAGCACAAAGCTAGTTTTTGCAAACACAAAGATCAGTTCATTATAGAAGAAGCTTAAACTGCAATGCTGCAAAGTACAGTGAAAGCAATCTCAGATCACTAGTCAAAGAACTGCTCACAAGCCTAAAAAAACAAATATACTATCTGAGGAGTGTGAAGAAAATATAGAGCTCTGGCTTTTCTGAGTTTATTTTATCTATCATATAAAATATGACAAAAATGTCTCCCGCCGACACACGCCCGACACCTCTCGTCTTCTCGCTACGGAGACACGTCTCACGTAGCAACACGTCTCTCCTGACGACACACGCCGGACACCTCTCGTTTGTCCACTATGGCGACACACGCTCCACGTAGCAACACGTCTTTCCCGACGGTATTGGTTACAGGGCTGTCGGCTGTAAATAGACATTGGAAAGTTCCTCTTGGTTATTTCCTTAGCCACGGCAGTTTAAACGGTGTCACCCAAGCTGTCCTGATAAAGCAATGTATGGAAAAGCTCCATGGTATTGACGTGATGGCGATTGCATTGACATCCGATGGATCGCAGTGTAACCAGACAACTGCAAAAATGTTAAGAGCATCCACAGATCCAGACAGGTTGAGAAGCACTTTCCTCATCCATGTGACAGAACAGCGTCTCTCTCATCTTTGATGTGTGCCGACTGTTGAAGTTGATGCGGAATCTTTTTCGGTCAGTACAAGGTTCTCGAAACTGTGGATGGAAACGTGAAGCTTTAGAATTATTATATTTATCAATTCTATTAAATTTATTATCTGCTGTCTGTCCGGTCGAGCCTCAAATGTTTTTAGGTTTGGTGAACATACAGTGTTTCGCTTAGGTTTTCCATGGTTGCGTACTATACAGTTATACGATTACTGAATGAGATTTTCCTCATGCCTCTATTGACCTATGCATCACAGTTCAATTTGTGCATTGTGTGCTGTGGACTCTACGTTGTAGATCTAAGAAGACATCTATGGTGGGTTGTAGCTATTGAACATTAAACATCTTGTATGTTCTATCTTGGAGTAATCATTCTGAATCATCAGAATGATTACTCCAACGTTCTATCATGTCGCTGCGGGGAACGTCTATAAGTATAAGCTGAAGTCGGAGGTGTAAACGTTTTAGTCTCTCCTCGTAAGGTACATCGTTATAATGTTGTTATAAGATTATAACATATAGATCTATATCAGTATATGTTACCATTACCTGTAAATATTATCTTTTTAAACGAACGTTGTATTGATGCAAATGACACGCTAAAACTAAACGAGTACTTTATAAGACCATCCATAACAAAATGTTATGTTATTTAAAGGACCACAAAGGAAATAAGTGTGTAGTCACGCTTTTGTGTGTTTCATCCTCGATAATTCTAGCTGCATATTGTTTAAATTTATGCTCTTATCGTTGTAATGTTAAGCTTTGTTCATTATTTCGAAATAAACAATCTATTATCTACCTCATACCGAGTTGTGTTCTACGGGTACTACCAACTACGGAAATGAAATCTGTTTTAGGGTTTGCAGGTTATGTGACATTCTATATATATAATATAATTATTCTCTAGTCTATGCAATGTCTTTGATCAGTTACTTACTAACCTTTATTGTTACTGAGTCTATAAGTTATAACCAGGAGCGTAGCTGGACCCTTTTTCCTGTGAGGGGGTTGAAGCAAATACAGTCTTTCGGTATACTGTATGTATTACTATTACTAGTATTAGTATTACTAGTGACAGTGTACTATTACGTTGTAATAGTATACGGTACGATTCGATTTTGGATGTATAATTAAATAACCACGCTTGACACAAGCCAACATTGACTCTAAGGCAACTTACCTTAGCCAAGCGATGATTATCATAAAATTATATAGCTCCAAGAAAACGTCTTTGCTAGGGTCAGAAGACCGTATAGACAGACTGTAGATCAGATCCAGTCGCACAGTACCGCACAGCCTCGCCGGGCTAGAGCCTAGTCATACAGCAAACGTTTTCAGCTCCACTTTGCTATCGACATTTCTCCTCGCAGTCGTAGTTGTATATATAATACCTCCGAATTACTTCATACCGACTATTCATATACACACAAATTTGATTTCTTCGCTTATGTACATCGTTTTGTGTTATAAAACTAATTTTAATACCAGAAACGAGAAATTTGACCTAGACCGCCATGCTGTGATTTTACAATAGCCTCCCGCACTGTGAGGCGCTGTCATCGCTTGCCTGGCGTCATTTGTTAAGTACAGGGAGATGGGCGAATCAGCATTCTAGGTTATCTATCTATTTCTATGGTCCCACCGTACCCTGACTTTATGCTCCTGTTCCTGTATCGCTCTGGAAATTGTATGTATCACCGTGTAATTATGCAACATGCAGGTTGATAGCACTGTTGTGCCGTTGGTGGTGTACATTTGGAAAGATTTCTCTCAGATCATGAATATTTGAATGATATGAAAATGAATATGGAATGGAAATAGAATATATGAAAAAGGAAAAAGAAAAATATAGTCAAACATAGCATACTTTTATTGGATTGCGATGTTTTGAGGTTTCTTCTATGTGATGTGGTAACTTGACAGAGTGTATGTATTACGACATCAGTTGGCTGAAAGTCCGGTACGGTGGGACAATGCAGGGTACGCACGCGACATATCGTATAGTACCCCGAGGTACTTTCCGATATATCGAACCGTACCCAGGGTACCCTCCGATAGTACCCTGGGGGACATAGACCTATCAGCGCAAGTAATGTGTTATGCTGAAAGGGGACTTTACACAACATCTTAAGAGCTGATGGATGTTCTTCAGAGGGGGTTTACCAACCTGAACATTTCAATAGAGCATTAAAGAGGAAGGTAAATGGCACTACTACAGAAGCCATCGTTCATTGATTATTATACCCCATGAATTAAATGATGGTCCATCGAAGCCACAGGTACTTGTCTGACCACTTATTTTTTCAACGTACTCTTGCAATATCTACTTGGCCAGTGTATATTATTACACCTAGCATCGGTAATAAACGGGATAGTATTCGTACCTGTACGTGGTAATAAACGGGATAGTATTCGTACCTGTACGTGGTAACAGACAGGAAACAATTCTTACCTGTATAGGTCATCATGTGGATCAACCAAAATTTCTTGCTGAACGAGGATTTGGAGCTTTCGGGATCCCTCCACCTGAACTTTCTATGCATCCGTGACAGCAGTCCTCTGAGAATTTCAATGGAGACAAATGGACAGGTTAGCTAGCCTACACTAACTGCTTGCTCTCCTATGTGCATCTCATTGTCTATCACGATCTCAATGATTGACTGTGACTGAATGTATAGCAGGATCTATATTAATGGTAAATGATCCTGACGCAAAGATTTAGATCACATAGTCTGCTATCTGCTACACAAACTATTGACATCGCCATGTAATAACATTGCAACCGTTAACTAAATTACTATCGCCCCCACTTTCATTTTTATTAAATAAAGCAGTAACAGTCAACATAGTGTGCATGTTCTTCTTTGCGTAGGTTGTGATTGAAACGGACAACATGGAGCTGGCAGGGGATCTCATACAGGGAATAACTTCGTATCTCAACATTCAAGATCTGCAGACAACTGCCGAATTTTCGGAAGAGATGGCCAGACTGAAGGAAATTCTTGTTAAAGTATGACATATATACTTACTTAGAGTAATTTATACACTTATACACTTTTTATATACTTATAGACTTACTACCATTACATATGTGTCGCTGAAAGATATAATCTTTATTGTAGGAAGAGCTAGTAGATGTCATTTTAAGCTAGTAGATAATAAGATAATAATAATGTCAGTAACTCATAGATATCACCAATTTTCCGCCTTAGGTTGACGAGTTCCACTCGGTCAGGCAGAAGTTGACCGCTGAGATGGCTGACCACTCTAACATTATCCGCAGCATGGTGGTCAGAGCTGAGGATGCCAGACTCATGGGTGACCTGTACGTGTAATAGCTCCCTTCGTCAAAAATCTCACAGAGCGAATATATGTATCTATTCATTGCGAGACATTGCATTTTTTCTGGGATGAAGCATTCTATTTGAGACTGTTTCTGCAGGCGGTTACGTATCTATAAATTTCGAGATATTTGTTACCTTTCTTATGTCACAAAGCCTTCTATTGGAAAAAGTTTGCGTGTTAATGTATATGTATATTTGTTTCCGTCTTCGCACGGCAGGAAAAACATGAGGAAGAACTATATGGAGCTATATAATCTCAACAAGGATCTGATCAGTGGGTATAAGATCAGATGTAACAATCACAGTGAGCTGCTCATGTGTTTAAAAGTCGTCAACCAGACTATACAAAAGGCCGGTCGCTTGCGAGGTAGGTGGCAGCACGCATGCGGTAACTGCAGTGATCAGGTACAAGCTGCTTGGTTTTGTCCCCTTCTTTAACCAGCTTTAATGCATTGTGATTTTATTTTTAATGAATTGATTTCAGGCAGTGTAAATTGCATCACTGTGTCCATAGAGCTGTTCAGAAACTGGCCTATCAGTTTAGTGTGATTTGTAGTTTTAGCCTATCCACGTTAAATACTGCAATAGGGCATTCTAAAATCAATTCTTTGTAATGGCACATGCCAGCATGTACGAGCTGGGTTACCTTGATCGGCCTGGCAACAGTATCCAAGCGGCAATGGTTATATCATTAAAGCACATGTCAATCGTAGTATTTATGCTCTGTCTGTAATCTTTCAGTTGGGAAGTACAAAACACAGGTGATAAGCAGCTGCAGAGGTGCCATAAAAAATAACAACGTCAGCATGCTTTTCAAGGTCATCAGATCTGGTTCTACCTGAGCCGAACGTCATAGTAGCATAGATGCCTAGCAGTGGTACAGATGTACTGTGATGTCACGCGGTGTCCACATCCAACCCCTATCATACTGCCGAGGGAAATAAAAGGTAGAATAGTGGTAAAAAATTTATGTTGAGAGTGGGCAAGTAATGCTGATAGGGTCTATGTCCTCCAGGGTACTATCGGAGGGTACCCTGGGTACGGTTCGATATATCGGAAAGTACCTCGGGGTACTATACGATATGTCGCTGCGTACCCTGCATTGTCCCACCGTACCCTGACTTTATGCTCCTGTTCCTGTATGCAGGGTTGAAAATAACTCGCCGACAGGGTGTCGCACGGCTTTTTCGTTACGATCTAAGCACCGGATCATGAAAATAAAACATCCGGTGATCGACTGGCATTCAGCCAAAAAAAAAAAAAAAATAAAAAATAAAAAAAAAATAAAGATATTTCAAGTCTGCAAAGCAAAGCATGTGGATTGTCATTTTAAGGTGAACTGGAAATGAGGTTTTCCAATTTAATGGGCACATGTTGACTAAAACATTTCACTATTCTTGTCATCAAGTCTATGGGCACGTAGATCTGTAAGGGTTGAAGAAGACTATGGCCGATTGTTGCCTCTTGATGATATCATGGCCATCCACAGGACAGTTTTTGGCGAGCGGCATCTGTAACCACACTGGACAAACGTATGCTAGAAAGCAGTAGACCACATTACACTCTATGCACAGAAAAGGATCAGTGATGAAACGTGCCGTCAAAAGGAAAACATGGCGACAGACATATCGGCAGCACAACCCAAAGAACGCAGAACTTGTTGCTGTTGCGTGATCTGTGGCTGGTCTTTGCCGTCTACTAGTGCTGAGAGTGGTGAGAGAGGTTTCTCTCAAATGAGAGAATACAGTCTGGATTGGAGAAGCAGACTAAATCAGGATCCAACTTAAATGCAGCTGATGAGAATTTCTGGATTCTCTGCAGGTAGGGTGCTTTTGATCCGTCTAATGCCGAGTGGCACTGTGGGAAGAGCAGAGAGGAAGACGCAAGGCTTTGTCAAACCGTATTGGGCCTCATCTTTCACTTAAACCTGCACTGCTTGAAGATGATTGATTGAACCAGACAGCCGAAAGATTACGTAATGACGATGGACTGCATATTAATTATTATAGAATGTCTGTGCAACCACTCAGACTCAGACTGAGAAGAGAGTAAAGAATAAATCAAATCCTAATTTCCTGACTTGCTGCTGTTTTTTTTCTATCTTTGTTTGCCTGGTACTGTATCACGCTGTAAAAACAGGAACATGGATTGCAATGTATCAAATAATTTATAACGTATGCGTTTCCGGCAGGATCACAAAATGTTTGCACGGATCACAATATTATAAACATCGGTTATCCTGCAGATCCCGGTGTTAGAAAAAGGTATTTTCAACCCTGTGTTAGCCTCTGGAAATTGTATGTCATCCACCGTGTAATTACTGCAACATGCAGGTTTGATAGCACTTGTTGCTGCCGTTGGTTGGTATACATATTGGGAAGATTTTCTTCTCAGATCTGATATTTGAATGATTGAAATGAATATGAAATATAATATATCGAAAGGAAAAAGAACAATATGTAGTCCAAACATAGCATCACATTTTTATTGGAATTGCGCATGTTTTGAGGTCTGTCTTTTATGTGATGTATGGTAACTTGACAAGAGTGTATGTATTACGACATCAGGCTGGCCTTGAAAGTCAGGTCGGGTGGCACGAATGCCAGGGTACGCAACGATATCGTTATCAGATACCCGAGGTACTTTCCGAATGATATCGAACCGTACCCAGGGGAACCACTCCGATAGTACCCTGGGGACTCAGACCTTATCAGCGCAATAATGTGTTATGCTTTGAAAGTTGACACTTTACCACGAACATCTTAAGAGCTGAGGGATGTTCTTCAGAGGATTTACCCAACGCTGACCTATTTCAATAGAGCATTAAAGAGCGAAGATAATGGCACTGCTACAGAGTACTCGTCAATTGTAAATTATATATAGCCCCATTGAATAAGACGATGTCCTCGGCCAGCACAGGTAGCTTGTCTGCCACCTTACTGTTTTTCAACGTACCTCTTGCACATTCTACTTGGCCGTGTCAATATTAGGCGTGTTCAAACCTTAAGAAAAACCGCGCTGCTCAGCCGCTATACGGATATAATAGTGCAGCTAAATGTGTCGTTGTTCACACAGGCGAATACTCTTTTTGCGGTATCGCCGCGGGCAAATATATCACGCCGCGGAGCAACTAAGCGGAGCTGATTCCAATTGCCAGTCAGAAGTGGTCTTTTTGTCGAGCGGCGCTATTTGAGCGCGATTTAGTCGACGCTAATTGCGTTCACACTTGTAAAAAGCTCAGTTTTCGATGCGGTCTGCAAACCGCTGAGTTTTGGCCAGCCCGCCCTAATTCGCGACCATGTGAACGCACCTTTATTACAACTGTAGCTTACTTTCTTCCACCAATTAATTTGATTGTTGATTCACGTTTTGTTTTGCGTGAGATTTTATTGCTCCGAAAAGCTCCGGCTACATTTTTTCAAGTTCAAGCAGAGTTTTCCAAAACAATCTCTAAGCATTTCAATATACATTATTTAGGTATCTAATATATTATTTGTGTGTATCAAGTTACTATATAAGGTATATGAAATTCGCGTCCAAGGACAGTTTAGGTATCTAAGTGTTTTTAGGGAACACTGCAGGGGCGCAGTGTAGCCTACGGGTTGATACACTGCCCTGTGGCTATTGCTAATTGATTAGAGCATCAAAGCACTAGAGGTACAGCGGGGTATATATCTTTACTAGCTGAATATTTGTTGTATTGTCACCACTCATTTCACATTTCCGTCCATTTCTATTTATATTGTATATGTCTGCGACTGTAGTTCTCAATTGTGTAAATTATTGCCCGAAAATTTTAGTTAAAACAAATAAAGGAGCATCGATTCTTTTTGATTTAGTCAATAATTGCGTTTGTCTTGAATTTTACACAACGTGCTTTACTGTGTATTTAAATTTTATTCACTACTATGCTTACAACGCCGCGTCACACTGTAAGTCGGATAAATAGAGCCAAAGAAGTCTGGTGGGGAACGTTGGTGGGAAAGCGTGGCCACAAAGGTAGCGGGGGGAAGGGTGTTCTATCAGCAATAAGTCTTGGTAGCGCTACACTCGTTCATGTCTTTCCTTATCGACCAGTAACGTATGTGAGTCACGCGAAATAGTCACAGTATTCACAGATGTGGAATGAATTAATTATAGCTTATACTATAGTATTCTGGTTCTTCAGTAATCGAACATCGCGTCCACTGTCTAGTCTGTAAAAAGCCAGCAAACAAGCGAGGGTTAGAGGATGGGGATTGCATGGAAAGAGATGGAGGGCATGTGAGGCGTTGAAGGGTGGTAGCGGGGGAGAGAGGAAGTACAGCAGATAGCGGTAGAAGAAGGTAAAAGATCAAGAGGCGAATAAGAAGATAAGAGCATGAGGTGACTACCGATCGAGGGCAAGCGTTGTGGAGGCGAGGAAAATTGGCTTGGAAATGGAGAGGAGCGTAGATGACCGGTAAGAAGTTAGGCGCGACGTTAGATGAAGACATGAAGTTGGAGCGGAAGGCGAAGCAAGTAGAAGGTACAAAAGGTTAGAGGCGAGGGAAGAAGTAACAAAGGGCTACGAGGGAGGCGAAGAGAAATAAAAAAAGGTAGAGGAGGTGAGGAAGATAACAAGTTAGACAGGGAGGGAGGAGAAGTTTAACAAAGGATAGGAGCGGATGGTGGGGAGAAGTAACAAAAGTAGGAGCGGGAGACGAAGCTACACAAAAAGGTTAGGGGCATGTGAGAACGAGAAGATAACATAAAGCGTTAGAGGGAGGGGGAGAGACATCAACAAAACGGCTAGCGGGCAGTGAGAGCAACGATACAAATGAGTAGACGGAGGGACACGAGAACGATACGAACAAGGGATACCGAGGCGGCGCTGAGACGAGGCATAACCAACACAATGACTAAGAGGGAGGGCAACAGAGAAGCATAACACAACAACGGCTTACCGAGCGACAGGACACGAGAAGATACAAACGGTAAGAGGAGAGAGAGAACGATAACAAAAAGGATAGAGGGAGGGGAGAAGGATAACAAAAGATTAGAGGGAGAGCGGAGAGAGATACAAAAGGTAGCGCGAGGGAGAGAGAGTAACAAACGGTCATGAGGGAGTGATCAGACGAACGTAACAAAAAGGTAGAGGGAGGGAAGAGAAGATTAACAAAGTAGAGGATGTGAGAGAAGTAACAAAAGACTCAGAGGGAGGGATGAGAAGTAACAAAGATAGAGGACGGAGGGAGAGAATGATAACAAAAATGCTTAGAGGGAGGGCAGAGAACGATAACAAAAGGATTAGAGGGGGGAGAGAAGCATAACAAAAGGGTAAGAGGGAGGAGGAAGATTATACAAAAGCGTAGAAGGGAGGGAGGAGGATAACAAAAGGTAGAGGGGAGGCCGAGAGAAGATAACACAATGGTTAGAGGAGGAGAGAAGCATATACAAAAAGGTAGAGGGGGGAGAGAAGATAACAAAAGGTAGAGGGAGGGAGAGAAGATAACAAAATGTAGAGGTGATAGAGGTGGAAAGAGGGTAGAGGAGGGCACAAGGTAGTGGAGGTAAAGGAGAGGAAGCATATATATATATATACTATCTAGTATATAATATATAGCAGGGAAAGCAGATCGACTATGGGTGGTGATGCGAAGAAGACTAAGAAGGGGAAGAGAATTCTAAGGTACGTAAGTGTAGAAGACAGTAATTATAAAAAGGAATGAGGAGAGGCAGACTTGAATCAAAACTTAGATTTGGTTAAAAAAAAATCATGAAATTTGGTTCATATTAGCGACTTTTAATCGCACGTTTTTTGACTAAGAATAAATACTAAATAGTAGGTCTCAGGGGAGATATAGTGATCCGCTAGATAGCGCATAAATACGATATTCCGAAGTCGATTTAAAATGTACCGCTCTTTTCGCTGGGGGCGCCACCATTCAATGGCATTAGGAAGTGCTATGTTGAATTTTGACATCTTGGCGCCATTTAGTGTGGAAAATAATTATAAAGTGCGCATATATGGAATAACTCGGTTACCTGATTAACATTGGGTTTTATTACGATGTGACAGGCTTCACTCTCGCGAGATCTCTCGCGTTCAATAGAAACGTGAACAAAACCCCACCATCATGTCTATAGTTGTATTTGTGATCGAAATTTTAAAATCTGATAACTTGAAAGGCTCATAATTAGAAGTAACACGAACCTGACGTAGGACAAGTTAATGCAGTTAATGTTTATCAATTGGTTCATCGCGCGGACAGCGTACTTACTCCTTGTTCATGGCGTATGTGTACACGTGTATGGCGTATGTGTACACGTGTATGGCGTATGTTCATAGTCTATGTGTATATAATATACGTGCAGAATCAAATTAGCTATTAATGTTCAGTTGCAATGGACATGTGAAGGAATTAAAAAATACATGGTATTGTAGCGGCTTCGAACGTAAACACAGTAACTAAAAAATTACCATTATCATCAAAATGTTTATTCACGCTTTACTAATGTAATTATAATATATAAATATTATATATATATAATAACGCATATCATAATTACAGTACAGTGGTAATCTATTTTCCAGTGTTAATCGTCTCGAGTGAGAATGTTGTGTTAATATTATAAGGTTTGACACGGGATGTGCGCACGTGGTCGCACTTTTAAGTAACGTGACGAAATATATGCGAGCCCAACGGCAGAAGCAGCAGCACGTGCGTGCGTGCGTGCGTGCGTGCGTACGTCGGTGCGTGCGTGCGCGCATGTGTGTAGTCGCTCCTGTCTAGCGGAATGCGAAAGAGAGGGAGAGAGAGGACAAGTGCATGCTAAGAAAACGATATATTTGTTGTGGTTAGTGGAGCATGTGGTATTGCTTCTAGCGCCCCCTTCCATCGATATAAAAGTAATGGAGCATCAATTATGACTAAGATCATCAGTTACACTAAATATCATTCAGGTAGGGGGCGAATGAAGAATATTTTTTGAACTACCATTTCAAACGAGATAACTTAAATGAAACATACACTTCCATTTAGGGGACGATTGAAGGCGGAACAAATCGTAGGATAAACATTTCTATAATGATCGACGAATTGGAGACTCGGTTTCCACTAGATGAAGCTAAGAATTGCCGCAACCTTTCCCAACGATAGCCTTAATTAACTCGCTCTTCGTGTACAGACGCTTTGCGCGCGCTACAAACCTAGCTGCAAGCACATCAAACATACTTGTTGCGACCCTTAACATCATCATTCTGATTTTCAATGTAACAATTCGATTTCGATGAAGTCCTAGATAATGAAGGCGCCCCAATCAAGAGTAGACGCTACCTTATCCAATGGTAACTTCACCTCGTGCTTCGTATATAATCGCTTTGTAATCAACTTAGTGCGAGCTCCAAGCGCCTCTACCATCATTGTCGCTGGTATGTTGTCATCAGGTGTATAGATGCAGATCTCTGATCCATCCGGTAGAGCCATTAACACCTGCCTCATCAGCTGACACTGTACCTGCTCCGTGTCACCGTAAAGTGGACAGATGCCGTGACTCACTCTGCCCGTCATGTTGACGGCAATGACATAACCTGCTACCTTGCTCTCAGCATCGGTCGCTACAAACATCAGCTTCTTATAAGCTTGTAGACAGGGACGCAGATAGTCTCCGCGGTCGTTCCCAGCGATGGTCCTGTCGTAGCCGAGTACAGCTTGCAGCATCTCCTCGCTGTATGGCTTCACCATGATATTGGCTTCATCTCCCAGCTTCAGGGATGCTGCGATCTTGGCGTGATCGACGGTGTAGTAACGGTCGGTAATAGTGAACGACTCCGTCGTAAATTTATTCTTCTTGTAAAACTCTATGAGGTGCATGGCGGAGTTAATCGCCACGTTGAGGTGGCCGACGTGCTCATCTGCTCGTTTGTACAACATACTTTCTATTCTAGTTCCTCTCATGTCGCCACGTACTATTAAGTGATTCGCAGATGCCATGTCACCTATTACAGCACAGGTAACAAAACCTGAAACGGGAGACCGTATAGCGATCATCAACTATTCATTCCTCTGTTGGTATTTTGGCGTTTATCGCCTAACTTACTATAGAGTACTTATCAAGCGTAACGGCTTGCCACTAAATCTGCGGCTACGAGGTAGTTTATGTATATGTAGAACATATGTACGTACCGACTGGTTCTCCGCTAGGCAACACAGCCGTGAAAGCTCCGCCGCCTTTCCCGTATTTCATCACGATCTTAAACATCTCAATCTCGTGTGCAACATTAAAATATTCTTCCCACCATTTAATCACATGCGGCAGATCTGACTCGATAGCCTCCCTGATTGAACAACCATCCGCCATGATGCTTTCAAATCAAATGCGTATAAGGCCTGCTCATGGCCTCCCCCAAGTGTAACGTCCGCTATGCCAGGTGACAATACCGAGACGTATGCCCACAGGCACTTGAAGCATTTCAACTGTAAACACACGCCGACGCCATTGCGCGCACACTGACACATAAATATAGAGACTCTTGCAGAGAGACAATGGCACGTGAAGGGTAACCTTGCGACCGAACAACGATGGAGACGCTGAGATCCCTGTCACACGCTTCGAGGCTGTGCTGAGTGGTGAATGTAGGTTACGTACGATTCATGACAGTGCTCAGTGAGTGATGAGTTGATGCGATGTAAAATCATGTAGTAGTGACTGCCGTGTGGTGGCAGTAGCAGCAGCAGCGAAGGCAGATGACGCGAGGTGTACGTGATTGTTGTTGTATGTATGATTAATAAAGAAATTGTTTTTGTATTTAACGTCGTAAGATTGGTATCTGCCTAGCTTTTACCCCTCCTCCCTCCCTCCCTCCCTCACACCCTACCTCCTTTCGCTGTATCTCACCCCCTTCTTTTTCCCTACCTCCCATTGCTCCCTCCCTCTCTCTCTCTCTCTCTCTCTCTCTCTCTCTCTCTCTCTCTCTCTCT